TACATTTACAGCGATCACTTGGGTAATTGACTGTTTGCTGTCATGAATCAGAAAGTGTTACTAGAGAGAGAGAAATTACACATTCTCTTTGAGTATTTCTCAGAGATTTTTATTCTTTTACATGAGCATTGTGTTTACAGTCATGTTAATTGTTTGGTTAAAAGCAAGATTCCTATAAGAAAATGAAGTTTCAGAGTAAGAAGTTTAATTTCTGCCAGTAATATGCAGCCTACACAAAATTTGCGTAGCCTTTCACAATAGAAATGAATAACAACAAATCATATTTGAATATGTTCAGAAGTCTGTGACTTTTTCTTTAAGCAATAGTTTACCAGGATAATACAACAAAAAGCTGTCATTTTGGAATGTTCAGTCTATTTTTATGTTGTAGTACTGCATAAACTTTCCATATATATTRGAGGAAACAAATGAAAAAAAACTATTACATATGCTGAGTTCCTAGATTTTTCCACTATCTGTATTGCTGATAACAATATTGCCAATCCACTTGTAAAATATGTTTAGATTCTATTTATTTCAAATATATTCCAAATCAAGTATACGTACTGTCCATTCTTTTGTAGGCTATTTAAGGGCATTATGGCAACTATGCTTATACATGCTGTTTACCTGCTGTGCACTGTGCAAATATTAATTTTTAAGCCAACACAAAATAATGAACTAAGGGAAAATGCTAAAAAGGAAAGAATAGCTGCCCGATCATTGTCATGGTTTTGCRGTGTCTCCTTGTATATTTGCTACAGTATCTCATCAACAGCATATTTTATAGTGCTTATAATTACTTTGGGATGTGGCAGCTTAAATGTTGAAATGATTAGCATTTTTCTWTTTCTGAAGAAAATGTTTTATTTTCTATTAGCAGTTACAATACATGCAGCATTATGTTTGTTTATTTAAGTTTAGCAAATTTCTGGAAGAACTCATRTGTCTACACTGTCTTTCAATATATAGCATTTGCTAATTTGTAAGAGTTTCTTGTTTATGTAAGTCTTTATTTATTTGAATGTTTGAATGCTTATGAAAGTGGTGTTTGAATTATGTAGTTTGTATTAGTTAAAAGAGTAAACCTTATGAATCAGATTTTTTTCTTAGATAAACTAAGCTTAAAAATATATTAATTGCAAATTGGAAGGTAATTACAAAAATTACCTTAGTTTATTAAAAAAAAAATCTAAAGCTTTGATTAATAATCAAATAATCAAATAATCAAATAGTTAACAAAAAAAAAAGGGTAGATCACGATGCTGTAAAACACATAATTAGATCTTTCTTTCATTGATTAGCTTTTATATCAAATGTGATTTTCTATCAACAGCATTTTCTATCAAATTTATTCTTTTGCCAGTTCTTTGATGAAATTTGTAAATTACTTGTATGTTTCCTTTAAATATATTTTCCTTTAATGTGCTGCATGGTGTTAGAACCTTAACCCTCTTCCCGGTCGCTCTGTGAGGTTGCCCATGACTTGGTGACAGGGTTGGCTGCCCTGCCACTTACTACCTGCTGCACTCTGCAGTTTTGTCAGTCTCAGCACTTGTTTYAGCGTGCACTGTCCATGGTTTTGAACAGTGTCAGGCAAAGCCCTCTCCTTTATGGGCAAGAGGTTTGTATTAGTGACTGTGGCATGAAGCTCTTGCTGCATAGTTTGACCTGTTTCATGAAGATGTATTTTGGAAATGCCCATGCAATTTTGCACTTATTAATACCGCTATGTTGCACACATTAGATTGAGACAATGTTGCACACATTAGCGAGCACTCAGTGCTCTCAGATAGCATAAATGAAGGTGGTGCTCTTTATTTTCAATAGAGCTCAGGACTGAAAAATTCATGAACACCAGTAACACTGATTCTCTTGCAACTGTTGCAGTTATTGTGAACCTAACACCTGAAATCAGTTATTTTCAAAATAACTTCCTAATCTTCAATCACAGATTAAGGATTTGTATACAGCCACTTTCAGGCTTCCCTTGTCCTGCCAGGCATGAAAGCAAATAAAGATTAATAGGAGAAAGATTGATCTTCCCTTTTAGTAGTCTGGTTTCTGAGGTAACATCAATATTATGAAAAAAAAAAAAGTTTATGACAAATATGCAAAAACAACTTTGTTTACTTTCGTGAATGAGAAAAAGAAAAATGTGTAAATGTATAATTGTAGGCATTCTGAGCTCTCACAAGTCATTTGTTCGTTGATATTGTTATGAATTACCAATTCAGAATCTTTTAAAGATTTATTTAAAGATGAATTTAAATAGCATAAATCAAGCATTTAGAGTGTCTGTGTTCATACTAGAGCCTTGCCAGCAGTCTGCATTTCAGATATCACTTGAAAATGAGATGAAACAAAAATTCAGTTCTTTCAAATATACCTGATTTTCAGACACTTTTACATCTAAGCGTGTGTCATTTTTTATCTGCAAATACTCCTGAACTTGTGTGACCATGTTTAGCTTTCTGAGTTCGGATTTCAGTCAAACTGATTGCAAGCACAAGGAAATGCTTTAATACTTGATATGTTCTAAATCATGTGAACCCTGCAAAACCTTCAGGTCTGCACATAGTTCATGACTGCAGCCCCATCACAGCTTGGGTTGAGTGAAAGTGGTTGCTGTGGCCACTGTATTTGAGAGTCTAATGCTATGTAATATTCAATCTCATTTTATGCCATTTAGGATGTAATTGTTAATTTTGCTAAATAACTGCCTTTAATATCTTGGCTAGTATTACAAAAACAGTCCCAGCTGAGCATCTTGTTTGCCCATGAAGAGAAAAGACACATGTAGAACAATACTGGTCTCCTTGTATAACCTGATGAGTGTTGATCTTTGTGCTTTTCTCAGACATCAGCCCCTGAAAACCTCAGAAGAGGTGATGTGCACTGTGAGTAGTAGTAAGATTGATAACATGCAAGAAATGYGGAGACCCTCCGGTAGCTGGATCAGGTAGTGATGTAGGCAGTACTGGCCTGCTAGTGTTTAAGTTAGTGTGGTCCAGTGTGAAACTCTTCAGTTCAGCTGCTCCAGCTGGGATTTATATTTGACAGCTTCCCCTCTTGGAGCAGAAACCTACCGGGCCCCATTGCTGAATCACTTTTCCAGTGTTTCTCCCGACTTGTAAGATGCAGGTTGGCAGAGAGCAGGACACAGTGCAAATTCAGGCTCACCACCATGGCCATTTTAGTTCTTTCTTTCCTACTCTGACCTGGAAAATGAACCTGTGATAGAATGGCATTTGGTGCCACACTCTTGCTGTGGTAACTGCTCCCCACCACCAAGCAGCTGCTAGCGCAGGAACATTATTACATCGTGCCCTGATCTGTCCCTCATCTTGCCCCTTGATGCTTTGAGTGGTTCTTAGCTTTAATTCTTAGAAGCAGGCTTACAGTTGTCCTGCAAGCCTATAGCGATTACCCAGTTGCTAGTGCTTCTAGCAGGGATTTTTCCCTTCACACATGGGCAAGTTTAAAGGTTCTGTCCCAGAACACTGCAGGAGGGAGGATTATCTGCACTTCCCATCCTTCTGCTTGCTGAATGACAAATGCTAGCTGGTACAAAGGCAGAAATCCTCCTTGTCACTGTGGCTTTTATTAGGCTTTCATTTCAGTTTGATGATTTTAACAGCAACTTTCTAATTCCTAATTTAAGGTGACAGAAGGTAAGGATAATATAGATGCTAAAATATCATGTAGCTTTAAGATGGGGATGTTTTTTACAATTACTATTTACTTACATAATAATCAGCTTTAACACACTTTGCAGACTAGATCCTTCCCTGGACTTTGCTTTGAGCACCTGCTCTGCTTGAATTGGCTGTGAGCAGACAGCTGAAATGAGGAGCTACGAGGCATCCCTATGTGGTTTTGAATCTGCTGTAGCGCAGGATTTTTATTCCAATACATTGTGATTATCCCAGTTGCTTTTAAGGCTGGGTAATTGCAGTCACTTCTGTATGCTCAGGCACATTTTCGTGCTTTTATAACATACCCAATACTTAAACTTTCGTAAAAATACCACTTGTTTGGACAGTCAGATCTTATTCATAACAATTCCACACCACAACCCCCTATTCAAATTTCACATGGGAATGTTCACCAGAAACCTGAGAGCTCAATTTTGGTTGCACAGTGTTCTGTATAAAGTTTTTATATAACTCATTGCTAGGTACTATGCAAACACTGAAGTGGAACTTCCTGTCTAAGCTAGAAAAAAAAAAGAAAATCCTTATCAAAATGTTTTGAAATTAGAAAGATTTTTTAAATTTTAACTTAAAGGGTGGGAACTCATTTTGTGGGCGTATTTGAGCAGATTAATAATTAGTATTTGTATATATGTAACCAAAACAGTAATTTATCAGGTAGGAGACAGATGTGGGAGGATAACATGCCAATCTGCATATACAGTTGGGTTGTGTTCATGATGAACTGCTGTTTATTCAGGGCCAGTGTAGCTTAGCAGCTTCAGAAGAACTATTACAGCATATGACATTGTGCTTAGCGAGGAGACAATAATAAATTAAATATAAATAGCAGAAACATGGAAAAAGAATAAAATTCTGAGACCTTGTTCATTATTTCACTGACAGTTGTCAGAACTGAGAACTGAGAACTGAAGACAGATATTTGTATTTTTTGCTTTATGCCTTCAGGTCAAAAAGAGCAATGCATGGTTTATGTTGTAAAATACGAATGATTTTGTGTAACCCTGATCAAAGTCTAAATGAGAACAGGAACAATAAATACAAGGTTTGCATTCATTTTATGCATTTTAGTCGGATGAAAATAGCCACAGTAAAGCAAATTAGTTTTAAAATCTCTTTGTACCATAAATGGCTATTATTTTTTAAAAGCAGCTTTGACAAATGAAAAGAATCCTGCTATCAGTTACAACCATTGATATGTGTTAATATTTCTGGCTGTTTTCATCATAGATCTGGATAAAAAGTGTATTGTTGTTTAAAATATAATTTCTCACCATTTTTCAGGACTGCGTGTTACACCGGAGTCTCCTTGGTGATCTGAAAGCATTCGTAGATAAGTATGGGTTTGATGTGCTTGTCATTTTGGCCAACTATTTGTCAGATGAGGAGGAAACAAGACGACAAATAGCAGTATATTCAGAAAACTTAGAACTAGGCAATCAAGTAAGTACCTGGAAGAAGACTTAAATAATACCTATTCTGAAAAAAAAGTATACTTTAAAATATGATGATGATCTGTTGTATAATTAAGGGGAGCTGTTAAGTTGGCTGGCACATGAGTAGCTGTTTGAAATGACTGCAGTATTTGCATGATGCAAAATAAAAGATTTCAATATTAATGAATAATTCAAATCAGCCGAACAGAAAGAGCAAATGCTCACAAGAAATATGGAAAGAGAGAAAAGGGATTTTCAATTTATCTAAACTAGATTTTTTTTTCACACTTGTTTTGACTTGGTTTTGTAATGTGTCCCATTCCCAAGGAATTTTCTGAGACATGAACAAACACATTATAAAAGTTGATAACCAGATTTTTGTGTATTCATCTCTAAAGAATTCAGTCTAAAGAATTCAGTCGAATTATTACTAGAATTTTAGTTTTTCCAAAAACAAATGAATCTTATTAATTTTTAACAGATCTGCTGCGAATTAGAAGAATGTCAGAACCCTTGTTTGGAGTTGGATCCTCTAGAATGTGGATATGACCAAATTCTCATTTATCACCAAGAAAATTCTTCGGTGACCTGTGACCAAATCATTCTGCTAGTTAAGGAAGTTATAAGTAGAAGACAACCAGAAATGGTGTCAAACAGTAGAACTTCTTCTACTGAAGCTGTTGCTGGGAGTGCACCACTTTCACAAGGATCTTCTGGTATTGTGGAGTTATATGGTTCTGATGTAGAACCACAACCCAGTTGTGTCAATTTTATAGAAAATCCTCAAGATCTGAATGGATCTATACCAGCGCATGTTGATGTTAATGTAGATCTTGTGAGTCCAGACAGTGGATTGGCCACTATTAGAAGCAGCCGGTCTTCCAAGGAGAGCTCTGTTTTTCTTAGTGATGATAGCCCTGTTGCAGAAGGTGCTGTTCCCCATCACAGTCTTCTGCCTGGTTTTGATTCTTACAGCCCTATTCCTGAAGGCACAATCACAGAAGAACAAAAACCACAGTCTAGAAACAACAGTGATAACTTTGATCTTTTCAATTTTGATCTAGCACCTGTGGTTACAGCTCCATCTGAGTCATCTTCTCGTTCTGTTGACTGTTCCCCGGCAGATGATTTTTTTCTTAATAGTGATTCATCAGAAGGACAACCACCCACTGTGCAGAAAGAATTCAATGAGGCAAACCTACTAGAAAATGACATAGCGAATTATTCAACTAACTTACTAATGACAACAAATGAGGAAGACAATTTAGCTGAATTTGAGGGGAATCAAGAAGATATATGTGAGAAAACTACAAGCTTGATTGATTTGGTTGAAGGTGATTCTTCTTCACCTGAAATATTGAAATCTGCTGATACAAGAATCCCACCAGCTCCTATGAACAGCCTTGTAGAGACTTCACCATTAGATAATGGACAGCCTTTGTTTTTCCCACAAGATGTAGTAAAAAAAATTAATGAAATGGATAGCACAAGTTATTCTCAGTCTCGGGTTAGGTATGGGAGCTGGTGGGATGGCTTTGATTTAGAATCCAGAAATGCCGATACATGGAGTTCAAGCGAGCAAGAATCTGTATTTCAGAGTCCTGTCTTATGGAAAGATAGTAAAGCAAGCCCTTTATTACAGGAACACAGCACTGAAAGAAGAGCTTCAGATTCTGTATTTTTGCAAAAACAGCCAAAGGAAGGGGAATACACAAGATCAGGTCTCTGGGATAATCAATTTAAGCAAGATAATCAGAACTTAGAGAATAATGAGAAAAACATTGAACATTCATGTCTGCAGACTGCTTCTTCGGTGCAGACAGGGCAAGAGCTGGAGAACTTTACTGACCCATGGAAAGCAGATCAGCCATTACCTGTGGTATCAGATGTGTGGTATACTGGTGAAGGGAAAGGTGGTGAACAAGCTGGAGATTCTTATGAAGTCTGGGCTAGGTTTGATGCTAAATCCTCAGAAAATGTATGGAACATGCCCAAACTGGACAGAGAAAAAAAATCAGTGAACAATGTAGAGGAATGGGCCGTATCAAAAACTAGCTTATCAGACTCTTCAGATATTGTAGCAGATAGTGATAATGCACCTATTCAGATGTCTCCAGAAGCCTGGGATAAGGAGAGATTCTGTTCAGTAGAAGAATATGGAACATCTGAAAATACAAATTCTAGTATTAACAATATGCAAAACAATCTCAAGTTACAAACAGAGGAAAAAAATCTATTAGTTGGGCCTAAACATAGACCGAATCAATTTGAAAATATAGACACCTGGAATTTATATGATAAAAACATCATGAAAGAAGTAACAGAAGTAGTGGTGCCTTGGGAAGATACTTTCTTGGCGTATAAATGCTCAGACCTTAGCTCATCAAACATTGGTGAAGATTTAGTTGTTTCTCCACTAGATACCAATTATTCAACATCTGACTCATATATATCACCTACATATGTGGGAGATGAAAGAGAAAATGAGGACAATGATTTTGACAAAGAAGCAGTAACTGATAAATTTATAAAGCCAAATTTAGATGGACCAGAAGTATTTGAGAAAGCAAATAAAGAACCATTATCCCCTACAAACATGCCTCTCTCAAGCTCTAGAAACACAACCATCTGGAACACACCTTTAAATAATGAAACCCACTTAAAAGAAATAAATTCTCAGATTACTGCTCTTTCTGCCACTGGTACACCTGTTCTTAATTCAGAACAAACAGCTAATCACTATGTTTCAACTGATGAAAAGACTGATGAAAATAACTTTTCTGTCCCTCAAAACAGAAAAATAGCACCAGTATACAGTCAAAAAGTGAATGACTTGTCACCTTCACAGAATGAACTAAATATTATATATAGATCTGAAAATGTAAAAGTGGTGAGCAGTATTCCTGTAGAAGACACAGACCCATCTACAACCACTTTGGATAATGGTAATGATTTGAACCTGAAAGCATTTAATTTAGGAAGTGAGATACTGGGAACAGAAGAAACACAACACACTGCTGTTAATGATGAAAAGCTGGATAGTTGGCAGTCAGTGCTGGAGCCAAACTCACAGAGTGTACAGGCAGAGCAGAATTGTGGGGAAGCCTGGGAGAATGACAATACTGTTGTCTCCTCTCAGGAAAGAAAAGAGGAATTGATAGATGGAACAGAGGGGCAGCAAAATTATATTAGTGATGCCTTTAAGAAACCAATGCAAGATGACAGTCAATCTTCATGCAGCGCTGATTCAAAAGAAAATAGGTCAGTGTGTGAAGTTCCCAGCTCACGAGAGGAAATGCAGAATAGTGTCAGTTTGGAAACTTTAGACAGAGAGAACATGTCATTCTCCAATGACAGTAATTTAGTCAGTCAGGAGGAGAGGAAGGAAATATTACAGGACAAAGCAGAATCTTCTTCAAGTGCTACTGAGGAAGATAGAAATTATGAACTTTTTGATGACTCCAAGCAACAAGACTACAGTTGTTGTGAAATGTCATATATACTTCCTGAGAAAGATGAGGAGACTGCAGCAATAGATCATTCACTGAGTCCTGAGACAGAGAGTGTCTCTGAAAGCTCTGAAAGAGGTAGTAGTAATCATGAAGATAATTCTAAAGTGACTGGAAACATAGACATCTGCAGCGACTCCGGGGAGAGTGGTTCTCACTTAGCCACGTCAGWTCCTTCGATTAATGAAGTAGCAGAAGAGCAGAAAGAAGAGAAGGAGGGCTTACACAATGTGGTTGCTAATAATTTAGGCCTTTGTAGTGTTGAGTCTTCTGAATATAGCCCAGAACTGGGCAGCACTCATGAAAAATCTTTCCCAGATGAGTCTCCACAAGCTAAATTTCAGGAAAGTACTTCTGCCTATGTCAGTGTTCCTGATGTTACAGATACGTCTGTGGTTGAAAGTCAATTTTCACATGACATAGATGCTGGGAAAATGGAAAATTCTGAAAATTTATCATCTGCTAATAACCTTTTTGAGGAGGAGTGTATGACACTTCATGACAGTTTTCCCCAAACTGCTTGGAATTCACAGCCAGGTGAAGATTTGCAATCTCCTGGAACTAGTCCTGAGGCAAGTGAAGTCCTTGATATGGCAAACACCACAAGCAGCATTTCTAAAGATATACAAATCAAAAGTTATTTAGAAGAAGATAGTATATGGAGTGATTCCATAAATGATTATACACACTCAAGTGGAACAAGCCCTGATTTAAGTGATGCATCTGTGAATGCATGGGGAGACCCTCCAGTTGCTACTCATCAAAAAGACAGTAAAGATAGGTGGGATCTTACAAAGGGTAAGCAACCTGAGGAAGCTCCTAAAAGAAGTGAATTTGAGAATAAATGTCAAGAAGGACTTGAAACAAGCACTGAACACAAAATTCCTAAATATTTAGATTTTTGGAATGCCCATGTAGATGATGATACTGTGTCTTCCTTGTCAAGTCCTGAAATAAATGAGGATTCAGAGAGTTCAGATGCATGTCCAGCAGTGATTAATGAAGATTCCATGTGTGAAAAAATGTACAAGGTATCTGAAATTGAAGAGGATTATTATACACAAAACAATGCGATAAGTCTCGAAACAGATGAAAACAATTTATATGCAAAAGCCAAGGTGGGAGAGGTGGTTCAGGTAGGCATCTTGAATGAGAATCCTGAAGTAATTAAAGCTGAGAGTATATCAAAAGTTGGTTTGACTATAACTGAGTCTGATGAGGCTTCCAAACATTTGCAGCACTGGGAAAGACTTCAGAAAAAACCGCATGAGACTACTTTCAGTGAAGGAACAGGTACTGCAGAAGACTCATGTTGGCATCAAGTTGATGAAGATACCACACCAACTTTTCCAGTTGGTGATAAAGAAGAATATTCTTCAAAAGCTTCAGATGCATGGAATATGCCACTAGAAGCTGCTTTAAGATTTGAACCAAAGTCTACAGTAGAAATGTTTGTTTTTCCAGGTGACAGTTCAGAGTGGTGGAAGTCACAAAGCTGTGAAGAAAAGCCAATGGAAGATCAATATTCTACTTCAAGTGCTTCTGTAGTAAACCAGTTAATAAACAGTAATCAGGACTCATGGGGACCACCTATACCAAATGAAGAGCTAGAAGATGCACATTTCACTGATACTGGTAATGAAGGAATTCAGCATCTCCACCTATACAGCAGTGAAAAAGAAAATGAAAAGCTAGCACAGATTATGGATGTTCATGATAGTCAAATAAATCAAAATACTGTGCAGTTCAAAGAATTTGATCCTTTCATACTAGATAAAAAAGAAAGGGACTTTAAAGAGCAATCTCTTCCTACAGATGAAGGAGAACAGCTGACTCCACAAAATCTTTCTTCAGAAGATTATGAACCAAGTATGTCAAATACACCAGTTCAAGAAAACCCAGTGCTTGCTGAACCAAATGACAGTGAGACAGATGCAAGTCTCATTCCTCATGAAGAACAACTGAATACCTGCGAAACATCAGAGATGCACAACTCCTTGTCAAGTGCTTTCACCGTAGAAGACTTATCTTTTGAAATGAGAGAGAAATCAAGTCCAGGGTGGAATATATTAGTTCCCCAGCCTGCACTTATTCCAGATATTTTACAGGATAACACCCAAGAAAGTAATAATCTATTTTCAGTGAAACCTGATCTGTGGACTAATGCTGAACAGTTCTTCACTTTGAAAGGAAATAATGAAAATCCTGATATATTAAGTCACTGTGACCAAGACAATAGTTCAGATACATCAAGCAGCCCAGACGTGTGCCAGGAGTATGATGCTAGGCATGCCTCTCTGCCATCTTCTCAGACTGATGTGGAGCCTGAAGACAGTCAGATGATTTGCACATTGTCAGATATGAGTAAAGAGATAGATTTTGATTCAAAGTCCCTATTAGCAATGCAGAATTTGGAAGCACAGTCTGAAAGTGAAAGTCCCCAGTACTATGGTCAAAGACAGAGAGATGAATCTTATCAACTAATCTCTTCTAACGTGCAGAAACCTTCTGCATTTGAAATTTTGGAAGAATATGGCCCAGAAAGGAAGCTTGTTACTGAGCAAATCGAGCCAGTTAAGATGCCTGCTGAAGTTTTAGGAGTAACATCCTTAGATCCCAAAGATATATTTCATGAAAGTATTAGTGCTGCAAGTCCTCAAGACACTGAACTTGATTCAGCTCAAATAGTGATCTCCCAAACACATTTTATTCCTAATGATTTCACTCTGCCTGATATGCCAGAACAAAGCTTAAAAGAAATAAGTGCCTTGGCTGAAATTGGAAAATATTCTGATACTGAGCAAACAGCAATAAATAGTGATGAACTAGAAATAACAGATGAATGCTTGGATGGATCTAAGACTAGTACAGAACATAACATCAGTGACACATCTGTCACTAATATGCCATCAAGTACAAGAATCAACACATGGACAGCAGTGGGCAGTGAATCAGCAGAAAGGGATCCAAATGCTATACAGCTGTTCTCCAGGTCTTCTCTGCCTGATGATAATGAAGACTGTGACTCTGATTCAAAGCATCAGTTGGTTGACGACTTAATAGAAGAACCCAAGCATAAAATTGAAAATGATGCTTTTCTACTTAAGGGAATCCCTAGTGATCAATTGCCAGTGATGTGCACTCCACCTTCCCATGTATCTCTTGGTGCTGAAGCCTCTGGCAGCAGAGAGTGTGCTGAGGATGAGCTCTTGTTACAGAAGCCGTTTTGTGACAGTGGTTCTTTGGAAAAGCCTGTATCTCTATTTACCTCTCAGGAAGATGCAGAAGGCACCCTAATGATGAAAGATGACAGCATCAAAGATCAGGTGCCTGACACATCCACAGAGTGCCCTCAGGAGGATCCCCTGTTGATGTCTCCACCCTTGAGGTCTGAAGTAGCTCCAGGAGCTGCTGTATTGAAAGAAATCGAACATGAAGCAGAAACAACTGATCTTCATTCACCACCAGGTGGAGATAAAAGATCATCCAATGGTAAGCAAATCTGTACTTCCTCCAAATCATATTCGTTGGACAAGGAAAGAAATATATATTTGAGTATTACTGTTGAATGGTGAGGCTTTTAGTGAAGTTTCAGGTCTGTGTGTCTCTCTGGTGTACTTTGAGAACTGTAACATCCCCTTGTAGACTGATCTATAGCTTTTAAACTTCGAAGCAGTGGTATCATTTATGATGTTTGTATAGGGCTTAGCACATGGGACACTGAGTCATTTGATCACTGTTAATGTATAATCTTTAGCAGTAATAATGATGATGATGATGTTGTAAAGTTGAAGTACACATTAACAGAGTCTGTCAAAGCAAACTGAAAGAAACTATTTCCGCTGTGCTGATTTAAAGAAATCATGCTGACTAAAATAGTAATGCGAAAACTAAAAACAGTTTCTGTCTGCCTCTTTTTTTAGAAGCCGCCACTGACCTACTTTATGGAGAGAATAAGTCGAGAAATTCCTCTGAGAGCTCTGAGCTGGCAAGTACGGAAGGTAAGGAAGATATGAGGATGCAGGTGCACCAAGACCAAACTTCACTGGAGATGGATTACATCCTTGTTACTGGGGAAGAAAATACACCTTCAAGGGAGGATACTCTTGAAATAAAAGGAAGTGATTTTGCATTTCAAGAAGCTAATGTAGCTGAACAAACAGAATCTCATGAAGGCTTTTCACCAGGCTTCTCAGATACTTTTCAGCCAATTTCCGTAATAAATGAAAGAGAAGGCCAGTGTGCTTGTGAGGTTGAATGGGACTCTGTTAACTTAGCAGCGAAAAGTTCTTCTGTCATGCCTCAAAAACCGGATAATGAAAGGAGATCACCGGAAAACTGTGGCCAAGATGAAGGCTGGATTGTTTTGGGTCAAACTGAAATTGGTGGCATATCACCTGAGGAAATTTCTGACAGATTAGAGACTGCAAAATCAGGAGCTGGACATTCTGGCAAAGAACTGGAAGATGCTGCAAAGCAAGAATCAGTTCCTGATGCTCAAGCAGAATATCAGCTAGAAGCTCCTCTTCACGAATCCTCTGAACATGGGGGCTGTGCTCCCTCGGGCAGTCTGACTACTGAGGATGAGAATACCACAGAAACAGATGCCCTTGCTTTGCAGGTGGCTGGTGGTGATGATATACGGGAACCAAGTTCTCAACAGGGACTCGGAAATAACGTAGTAGCAGAACAAGAAATGGAGGAAGAAACCATGTTTCTCAGCAGTGAAAGGAAACTGAGTCAAAAATCAGGGTAAGGAGAGAGTGACCTATTTCTTTCCAGGGTATTCTGTTCATCTAATATCAATGTTATTAAAGTGTGTGGGATTATGAGTAGATAGCAGGATTTTCAAGGCTTAGAAAGTAATATTATTCACATGATTGAAGTATCACTGGATTGCTCACTTTATAAGAAAAATCTTAGTTGCTTGATGTAAATCAAAATAGGGTTGTTTAATAATGCAGAAAGCTTGTAAAGTCTCTTCCTTCCTTGAAGGAGGTTTTCCTTCCATGAGCTCCCATAGGCTTTAAGATCTGCCATTAAATCTGAAATCTATGACCAGGGAACCCACAAGACCAGATGTTGGTAGTGTTGCAATGCTGATGGTGGAAGTGAAGTTCTCCCTCTGGCTAGTGGGGAAATGCTGGGAAGGAAGATGGGCTTGTGCAGGGATCTGGGGTCAGGAGAAAAAAAAAATAGGAAGAAGAAAAAAGAAAACGACCAGGGAAAATTATCACCTCTTGGTTGCTTCCATGCAACCAAAATTATTGTGGTTGCTTGGTTGCTTCTAAGGTGCAGTGAGACCAGAGCAGCATTTCCTTCTTCTAGGACTTCTAGGACTGGATTAGCAGTTGATATGGAGAGTGTTTGCACCTCCCTTTTGGTGGACATGCAGCCAGCGTGTTGGTACCATTGCTGCCCGCTCTGCTCCTGCTGAGTGTTGCCAGAGAGAACCTTGGCGTACACTGGGTAGGTGGCGGCCCTGGGCCACAGGAACCGCAGCATTTTGGAGAAGGTGCTTCGGTTGGTGACTCCACGGCTGCTACCACCTCTAGGTACCTATGGGCTGTAAGGGACTGCTGGAGGGACTGCAGGTCCATGGAGGTGCGAGCAGGAGTCTGGCCTGACTGCTCCTGGGCAGCCTCCTCTCATGTGCTGCAGTTCTGGAGCAGGAAGCTGGCACAGAATTTGTACAGTCAATTTCGTGAACAGCAAAAGCAACTTCCCAGCAGGAATAAAACTGAGTGGGGCTAACTGCTTCATACATGTTTCTCCCTTCAAAATGTGCTCATCCAAGAGAATATTTGTGTGAAACGGTGGATTGATTTTTKWTTTTTTTTTTTTWAAGTTTCTCCCAAGTACTGGGAATCAGCTGCASTTAGGATACACATCATGTTAACAACTTACATTATCTTGCTTTGATTAGTTTGCAAATTATGTTAGATTAGCTTTCARTTTTTTTTACTAATAATTTGTCAGATTATTACAGTGGGCTTTTTTTTCCATATTGACAATACGACTGTCAGTGGCAGTATAATCCTGCTAACTGCACACAGACATTCTAGTAGAAAMGCACAAGTTTTTGCTGACTCCACTATTTAATTAAGATTGTGTTTTGTGAGTCATAGATTGGTAAGTGTGGTTTAGCTTTTCCTAGACCTGTTACAATACCTCTGCTGTTAATATTTTAACATATTTTTCAAAGACTATATCATTACTACAGAAAAGACCCTATTACAGTTGAGTTACTTTTAATCTCCAGCAAGTTTATTTAATCTCTAAAAATAAATCCCAGTCTCATAAACCTTGAGTTGTRATGATGTTAATCTTAAGCATATATAGAGCTTTAGGGTTTTCAGACAAGAGTTTGAATAGTATACAAAATACAAGCATCCTTCCCTTACCCTAGCACATTGTCCATAGCTGAAGTTGCTTCAGTCTAACTAGACAGATAGCACTGAGATTATGGAATGAGGACTTTGTATAGTAGAGGAATAGGTTTTATTGATGCAGCTTTTGCACTTACTTCCCTGGAAAAAAGAAGCAGATCTTCAGGAGGGTTAGCAGGAGATAAGCACTCCTCAGCTTTTTGTGCTCTGAAGTAAACAAAATGCTGAGTGCTTGTAACTATCCAAGGTAGAGCTTGATGGCAACCTSTTGTTACTGTTACACCCAATCTTCCACATTTCCAAGTTCTATTCTTTAAGGAAAAGTGGAAAACCTGAACATCTGGAAGAAGAAAAATAAACAAAAGCAGTTGTTGTGAATCCAAGTTAGTGTGTGGTAAAGAAGTTTAGGATTTGAAGACTGAGAAAAACTGGAGGTGGTCCTACTTCGGGGTAGTCTGCTTGTTTAGGGCAAGCCTACACTCAGGAAGCATTCCTTCTCCATTAGCACTGCCAAGTTTTATCTGGGAGATCATGAAAACCAACTCCCTTCCAAGAATAGAACTTTTTTTCTTCTTTTTTTTTTTTTTGACAAATCAGCATTTTCCAGTGCAAATCTTTACCACCTCTGCTCACAAAAAAATGGTGAGTGGTACAGGAAAAGGAAGGGTTATTTAGAAGTGCAGGATAGTTGTGGGCTAATCTCACTTGAAGAAATCAGCTGTCAACTCTTTTGTCTTGCATAAAAGGCATTTTAAATTAAAAGCAGACAGATGCTGACCCTGTTTAAGTCATACTGATTAATTACATGGAGGCAGTGTACCGGGGTTTTGGCTTGTCTTGCCTATAAGCTAGTGATGCTAATGATTCTAGAAAGGAAAAGAAAATAATCTTAGGTATTTGCCTTTAAATGATTTTAATAAGTAAGCACAAAGGAGCAGAGATAACTTTGAAGCAATAAGAGAAATCATGTAAGGCACATTAGAAAAGAATCTGATTATAAAGCTTCTATTTAAGCACTAGAAAAATCAACCCAACAGGCATGGATTTATATGTGTGTGTGTATATATACACATATGTATATTTATAGCTTATTACCATGAATCCACTCTGGAATGCATTTTGAAAAGTACTCTGGTCTTGTTCCGTAAACACGAAGTCTTCAAAGTAAAAACTTGAATCTTGTACACCATAGTGCACTTCAGATGTTCTACAAACATTATCCTTTCAACTTATACTCTCTTAGACCATTTCCCAAATTAAAACTCCAAACTGAGCCATATTAATGCAAGAATAYGTTCAGTTAAAACTGAATGCATAGTAGGTGCATCCTGCAAGAAAAGCTCACAGAAATTTTTAGTATAGAAAGCTTGGAGTCTGGTCTATTACAGGGCCTTTTCTTCCTGGATTCAGCAATGGCTGTATAATACCAAATGCCTTTTCACAGATAGCAGTAGATACTTCTGTCTTTACCATGGATAATGTTGAAACCCAGAAAAGTGAAGAAGGCAATCAAGTCATTCAGCAGCCTCATTAACAAGTATTTTTGGGAAAAAAACACTAAAATCTAGATTCCTTTGAGCTTGTGTTTTGTGGTTGGGCGTGTGTGTGTGTGTGTGTGTGTGTGTGTGTGTGTATCTGATCAGATGCACACTCTGACAGAAGCTCTTTTGCATCATTGATGTTATTCAAAACATTGCTCTCATGAGGATTTCATCTCGTAAGGATTGCTTGCATGTTGCAGTTTTCCCAGTAAGTAGACAATGTTCAATAGACTTGGAATAAGCTCATGTCTTTGGTCAATTAGCTAATGGCTTCAAATTTATTAGGGGACAGCAGAGACACATGCAGATGTCCCTGCATATGCCCACAATGTAATCAAGGAGGTTTTAATTCCTTTGAAATTAAAGTAAAAGCATGAAGAAATATTATAGTAGAAAGGGTAAAACACATATGGGAATAATCATTGTAGATTATATGTCAGTTTTATTCAACCTCTTAGTTGCTGAAGAATCAGCAACTGATGTGGCTGAAGTGTGTAATGGGGAACGCTTTCTCATGCATGTCACTGACATTTTTTAAAACAAAAGCTCCTTAACTCCCTAGGGAGCAGCTTGTAAGTCTGAAGTTTACCTTCCTCTTTGGCCAAAAAATGTTTAAAGTAATGTGATGCAGTAGAACTATGTCAGCCCTATGACAGTTTATCGTAGAAACACTGAAACTATCATGTGAGAGAAGAAAACAAGATATTGTTGTCTTGTACTTATTGCAAGAGAGCTCCTCCAGCTTGATGGTACTAGTGACAAGTTTGTAAGTGCACAATTTACAACGTTTAAGAATGTTTTAAGTAGAACWGAACCAAAGTATGAGCCTGGTACTAAGCTCTCTTAGGTGTTTCCTTCTACTAAACTTAATATATTTCCATATTTTTCACTCAGTAGAATTTATTGGATGCTTCTCTAAGTGCTACTTTTGCCAGTAGCGTCTTATTTCCTCGCCTGTGCTTAAACTTGCTTGGTGCAAGTAAATTAACCACTCCTAGACCAGCTGGATGRCTGTTACCTCAGCAGGGATTGTTTGTTTTGTCAAATAGTTGCTTAATGCAAATGGGCCATTCTGGGACCAGACCTGTGACAGCTGTCTCTGTGACAGGGCTCTTGAAATTGGCTACYGAATTGGGGTCTTTCTGTAAGGCAGCCTGTGCTTCCTCCAAGGCAGTGGAGCATGGCTGGTGATTTTCTGTAGCATTCTGTTTGGGAAATAAATCTGCTTCGGAGGGTTTAGAAACTACATTTCTCAATTTAGACATTTTCTTTACCATTGCAGATTTATGTATGGCRCAGACATAGTATTTCTGGAGACTAAGATAAGCTTATTATCTGTTCTCAAAGAGTTGATTGGGACATCTCAGCTACTGTAGTAAGAGCTGGCCTGGGAGTCCAGATTTCACAGAATTATTTACTCATTAACTGCCTCCTAAGACCTTTTGTGAATACAGTCTTCAGGATCCAAGCTACGCACATTTCCCTGGTTCGTGAAAAACGGACTTGGTGCTTACATGCTATGCTGATGTGGGTGCTTTCAGAGGGGGACAGCAGAGGATCAGATCAGCAAGGGATGCAATTAGCATTGTTTTCATCCAGAAAGTGTTCCACTTTGGCAATAAAATTTGTCTGCTTTGTAGAAGAGGGAATTACAGTTTTGAAACAGTAAGTGTAAACAAGAATGAGAATGAAGTGGATTAAAATCATGCTGTCTGCTGGTCACTATGCCCTTTATGCCAATGTCAGATAAACACACTTCAAACATACAGCTCTCCAGGGGGTTCAAGTGGGTTTTGAGAATCTGAGACGGGTCACAAAGCTC